TGGTTCAAATCCGTTTTTGATTATTATTTTTTAATAATTTAAAATTTTATTTTTATGTAATATATTTGCAATTTAAGGGAATAGAAAACAAATTGTGATAATTTTTTTTCATAGCATTAACATTTCAAGCGATATTTAATATAAAATGAACCAACATTTCTCAGTACTTTTTATAAAAAACCCTATGCTTAGCATGCGTGTTCTAACTCAACTTTAGTATCGCATAAACGAATCTTGTCCCATCTTACACTTACAGGTAATTGACTGGTTAGATTCTATATTATCTGATTAATTATACCAAATTTAGACTTAAAACTTTTAACCAACGAAAGAAGGATTATTCTCCTTTAATTTAATGATACAGGAATTGCGGACACCGATTTTAACTTGAAAATATCCTTCATTTTACAGAATTTGGGGCAAAATATAAATTTTTATATCAACTATTTCATTAATTTATTTGTTCATTTTTTATGTAAAATGTAAATATTAATATTATAGACTATGGTATCACGTCAATTCGGCGCGGAAAATTCGGCGCGGAAAATTTGGCGCGGCGACAATTCAGCGCGTATCTATTACAGTTGCAATTGATTATATATTACTTAGTATAAAAAAATAAAGATGATTAAATAGAAATCATTTTGAATGTTGGTCCTATTAATTATTTCTTCATATTTATTTTTACAAAAATCTCAATTTTATTTACTAAATGTGTAATATCAAAAAAATATTAACAACCAATATTTATACCTATTTCATTGGTTGACCAATTTACCACATAAGGTATATTGATTAGTAGCCAATGTAAGCCGAGATTTTGGGCATAGAAGAAAAAGAAAAAGAAAGGTTTGGACCTCTATCTCGAATCTTACATATTATTTTAGCTGGAATTTTAAAAATAGACCCAGCCATGGTTCCAAAAAAAATCAAATTAAGACTGACTCACTTTTTAGATTAATTAAAAATCCTTAAATTCTATTAATCCTTTTAAAAAAATATTATGCTTAGGCTAATTTTTTCTATTATATTAATCAAAAATTAAATGTGTATTATCAAAAAAAATTTACAATCAATATTTATACCTATTTCTTTGTTGACCAATTTATCACATAAGGTATGTTGATTAGTAGCCAATGTTATGTAAGCCGAGATTTTGGGCACATTACTTATCAGGGGGTTATATTATTTTTTTAAACTTTTATAATTTTTTTTTTATTGTCTAAAATTAGGCGTGAAAAGGGGATTTAAGATTTAACATTATAGTACTTATCAAGGGGGTATTTTGGGTCTATTTTTAAAAACAGTTGATTAAGATTGTTGCCAAAATAATATATAAGATTAGAAATAGTAGTCAAATCTTTCTTTTTCTTTCTTCCTTCTATGCGCAAAATCTCCAGACTTACATAATATTGGCTACTAATCAACATACTTTATAATGTGGTAAATTGGTCCATTAAAGAAATAGGTATAAATATTAGTAATTTTTTTCGATATTACACATTTAGTAAATAAAATTGAGATTTTTGTAAAAATAAATATGAAGAAATAATTAATAATACCAGCATTCAAAATGACTTCTATTTAATCATCCTTAAATTTTTATACTAAGTAATTTATAATAAATTGCAACCGTAATAGATACGCGCTAAATTGTCGCCCCGCTAAATTGTCGCATGGCCGAATTGACGCTGCGCCTAATTTTCCGCGCCGAATTGACGTGGAACCAATATTAACTATTATTTTTAAAAATGTTACATACATAAAATAGAGTACTAAAATAGAATAAAAAAGATTCCACGCAAAATAATTTCACCAAAAAATGTTTTTAAATTAAAAATAAAAAAAATGTGTTATATATCTTTTAAATAATTTGCATGTTTTTTTTATATATACATTTTATATATGTTATTTTAAATATATTTTTTAAATAAATAAATATTTAAAACAAATTTATTGAACCCTGAACTCTAAATTTTAAAAAAGGGTTCAGGTTTAGGTTCAGTAAAATATTGAGAGTAAGAAGAGTATTAGGTTGGTAGCCCTAGTTAGTTATGGCTTGATGTTTACAATTTCACGTATGGCTTAATAGACTCGATTTTGCTTGATCACTTAATTTGGGTTGGCATAGCTAAGCTTTTTGATGGTTAAATTTGGATGGGCTTAGTATGGATTGCTTTGATACGTTTGTTCTAGCCTGATCATTTTGGTTCGGTTTAGTTTTGCTTGATCATCCCGGTTTGGTTTAATTTTGCTTGGTCGGCTCAGTTCTGCTTGGAATGACTTATCATATTGATATTCTCATCTTAAATCCGTTCAGAGTTAGTTGACCATTTGGCATTGCGTAGTCTTTTTCCGGCTTGATTTAGGTGGATTAGGTTGGGCTCAGTTTATTGGCGTTGTTTAAACGGGTTTGTTAAGTTAACTGCAGAGCCGAAGTCGGGAATTATTTTCTGGGGGACTCACTACTTACTTAGGGGGAGAATATTTTTTTGAGATAAAACAAATAGTTAGGCATTCATATAAATTTTTTTTACTTATTTTTATTAAAAATTTTAAAATTAAACTATGAATACAAAATAATACTCGACACTTTTTATTTTAAAATGTTAGCATAAATGAATTAAATTCCATTCTGTGTTTTTTTTTCATAAGCCATTAAAATACTAAATTTTGACATTGATCTTTCATATTCTCTAGTGCTCTATAGACCTCTGTTTAGTGTAGAGAATGGGGGCTCATAAGAAGACGTTGATACCCCAATGATAATACTATTCTTTAAATGCAAGATAGTATTTTTTTATACATATAATATTATTTAAATTTGTGTGTCTTTAATTTCTGCAGTTAATAATTCTTTTGCTATTTCAAAGATGTATAAGTAATAATGATTCTAATGGGACTTTTATCTGATAAATAATTATGGTTAAGGGGGGACAATATAACATGATAGATGATTATAATTATTTTATGTAGAAATGATTAACAAAAATTTTATAGTAATTATTTTTTAAAGAACTTTACTTGGAGCCCTTTTTATAACCAAATTGCTATTTGACATCTACTAAAGAATTTTAAAGATTTGTAGGCTTTTTAACAACCCTTAAAGATTTTTGAGGGATGAGATAAAATATTGAAAGTTTTTCAGGCATAATTCTTATCAAATCATAAGAATTATCACTTTTTTATTTTTTAATATATTAATTGTGCAATTAATACAATTTTTAGCTTCCACTTTATACCTAATGACAGTAGATGCTTATTTAGTCGATCTATTGTTATTAATTCATAAATCATAATGGTAAATATTATTAAATTTATACTAACGCATTGAGATAAAAGACCAGATGATTCGTATGAATCATGAGAGGATACCTCTGAGTTAAAAGTTTTTTTAGAAGAGTTAAAATAATACTTCACCAATAGTCACAATTTTCATAAATAACACGAGATGTTTCTATATGACCAGTAAACCTCTAGTCTAGAAGTATTTTAAGAGTATGGCCTGTATATTTTCAGGATACGTTAAAAAGCTTAAAAAAATTATACAATACATTAGTTAAATTAAAAAAAATACAATATTATTATACCAAGGCACATTTTTATTAATATTCTTTGAAGCAGGGTTTGTACTCCTCCATTTCGGCCAGACATGACATTTGCACCATCTTACACTTGACTTATTACATTCTAAGAATTAATATCTAACTCATTATGTTACTTTAAAATATGAAAGACATTGTAAATTAATGATTCCTACTAGATTGCTCAACTGACACAAAAACACTGAATTTGGCAGTGTGTGGGAAAAACCTGGTTTCATACACCTCTGATATTAATTATATTTAAGTAGGAAAAATTAATATATTATAACAATATTTATTTTTTGATTGTATAACATGATAATGTGTTATACTCGTCATGACAAGTCTATCAAAAATAATGCAAACTAGAGTTATATGGTCACTTATTAATGATACATCTTTTATCTATAAGAAATAAAACGGTTAATCATCCAGCTTATTATGAAAATAATGAGAAATTCAAAAAAGAATTGAATGATCTTGGACAAAAGACATACTATAATATAACAACGTAGGAGTTAAAAGCGTGTCATTTTATTAAATAGTGTCATAAGATCTATACTATGATATAACAAAATATTACATAAAAAAAACTACATTGACAAAGCGAAGAAAACAATATATAAATTTCTGACATAAAACATTATATTCTTTAAAAAAATTAAAATTGTATAAAATTTTATAGTAGGCTTAGTCTTAACCTTTCTAAAATCAATGTTCTGTCTTCGGTATATAAATTAGGTTTATAAATTATTAATTGATTATTCTCAATTATTCAAATTGCTGATTTACAAATTTTACAATCATTTTAGACTTTTTCAAAAATTTTACAATGTTTAGTTTAGGTATACTTAATATGCGATAATAAAATAATCATTTTTTATAAAAATTAAAAAGATATAAATTTAGTTGTAAAAATTAGTTATCCTCTCCCCTTGTTTAAAAAATAATCTAATTGAATTAGGATTAATTTCAAGGATAGATCATTTGGAAAGCATGATATTATATAATTTTAAAGACATAGCCATACCTCTTTATGGTTAATGCTGATAAGGTATAAACTATAAATTGAACTTTTATCAACCAAATTTCAATAAGGTTATTTTCATAATTATATCAATAGATATAAGTGAACTTTTTAATTATCTTTTTTTTTTACAAAATTTATAAAAAAAAAAAAATTTTATAAAATATTTCTTCGGTGAATAATCATCTCATCATTGATTTAGTTTTGTAGCACTAAAATTATGTTATTTCATTAGTTTTAAAAATTATATTGTATCGTATGATAGCATTCTATCATAAGTTAACTAATTTTCTGTCCCCATCAAGTACAGGCTAACGAGGTTATATCATAAGACTGAATAATTATATTTCATATTATAACTAATTGCTTTAATGCCCTGATAAATAGACTCAACACTTCAAAATATCCCTCAAATAATAAATGTACGTAATCGCGAGCCTCAGGATCTCTATCTTTGATAATTTTTTATCGGGGGGAAGGATGGGTAACAATTTTTTGAGCCTAACGAAAGCCGAATTGAAGGATTCAACTCTCAAACGCTCACGCTTTGCGTGCGCCATCTTGTATTTCAGGGTGGCTCTGCGTTTTCTCCTTTTTTCTTCTCTGGTCAAACACGCTATCACGACATAGGTGTCTCCCAATGAATATTCCAGTATGTTTCTCCGAATTGAAGAATCGTTTTGAACGGGATTTACCGAATAATCAAGATAGCCTTGATACGATGTTCCTAGAATAGATTTGGCGGGAATCGCATTGTTCATAGTATTAATCCTGTTATTATTAATTGGCTTCGATTTAGATTGATTCAGGAGCAAAGGTGTATTGATATTATCCATTGCTTCTTAGAGAGAATTTTTAGAATCCAACAATCATGCATGAATCTTTTTTTTTTACAAAAATTTTTTAATTATTTCTATGCCATTTATGCGATTAAAATTTAAATATCTAATATTGCCGAATAATTTAAATGATCTCTCTGAAAAAAATTAATGTAATCCTAAACCTTGTTTTAAAAATTTTTTCCAACATATATCCAATTACCTACAAAAAAAAATTTTAATAAAATTTTTTTAAATAAAAAATTATGAGAAGGAAGGGTAATATTTATTTGTGCAAAATTTGCATCTAATTTATTACGATATAAATATAACTATATTAATATAATAATAAAAAATTTTTTGTTCTTATAAAGTGTAAAATAACGATTTGTGGCAATTTTGAATATTTTGTCTCTTTTTTTAAGTAAAAAAAAATATATTAAAAGGCAGCGACTTTCAGTTGCGGATCCTTATCAAAAACCGGTGGTAAATAATCTCAGATTAAAAATCCGGCCGGGTTATAAAAATTGAAGAAAAAAAATTAAACTCTGGCCAGACCTCAAAATATTTATATAATTTGCAAAAATCAGTCTCATACTATTATTGTTTTATTTTATTTTTAAAATTATTTAAAATCTTTAAAAATTAAGATCGAGCTGTAAAATAATCTAAATCTAGACTGGTAAAGTTTAACTAGTGTTGTTAAAATGCCCGAATTTGGGGGATTTTTAAAAACGGGCCGATTAAGATCTACTAAGCCAAAATAACATTATGTAAGCCTAGAGATTTGGAAAATATAGAGGTCAAACTTTCTGAGATCTATGAGAAAAATCTTTGAGCTTACATGATATTATTTTGACTAAAATCTTAATCGGACTGTTTTTTAAAAATCTACCCAAATCGAGCCTTTTCAACAACTAAGTTTCACCTTCGCAAGACTCTAAAGAAAAATATACATAAATTGGGACCTGATGAGCGCAGTTTAATATCAACTTCTTTCTTGTTTTTTTTATCGAATATTTAAACACTTTAATATAGGCACATATACTTTACAATTTATTATTTTCATCTAGCATGCTTTAGAGGTGAGGAGGTGGGAGGGGGTGACTAAAGGTTCTTGTAAATTTTGGAGAGTATTTGCTTCCATTTTTTGATGGAAGAATTTATTTTTTTCTCCAAAAAGCTAACGATGCCACTAGAACTCTTTTTCTATATTCAGTATAGAGAGGGGGGGGGCGGGGCACATCGTTGCCAGGGTCACGTGGCACAATCTCGTAAATTAAAAATTGCAAAGTCTAAAGTCTTTAAAAATAAATCTTATGTCGCTATTTATGGAATAGCCCTATGCACGAGAAAATATTTCTCCTAAATCAACTCAGTATATATTAAATTAACTAAATTTATTTTTTACTTTTTGGTAAATATTAATCTTTGAAAGCCTAAACCCTATTATATCATCTATATGGATTTGATACTATAAGAATTCCCTATTTGGAATTTTTTAGTTTCATTGTTTGCCAAAGTAAGAGGGGAGGAGTCATATCAGGCATATGTACATGGCTATATATGTCAATTAAATCATTATTTCTAAGTAGTTTCTATTGGTGCTAACATATGAAATAAAAGGGTTAAATTAAGTTATGAAGCAAATAAAATCAGCCAAGGATTAAATATATTTCATTTTATTATTTATTTTAGTATCAGCTCATAACTAATATTATAATATAATATTATATTTGTAAATATAAAGAAGGATCGGATCGTCAATTATAAATTATAGCAACTAGAAAGTAATATGTCCCGTGTACCCTGTAATGTTTAATTTATCATGCTTATTTTTTAACTTGAAATTTTTAAATATTTTCAAATATTTAGATTATTTCTAAGAATTAACATAAATACTTGGTAGAGAAGTTATCTGACTATACAAAGATTTACTCATCAAAACTTCTCGATAAATAATGAGGGTTTTTTACAAAATTAGGTCTGATGTGCCCCCGTTTCTAATAACTCTAATGTATATAATATGCCGAAAATACTATTTACAGAAAATCTCGTAATTTCTTAATTTGACCACATTTTCTAAGTTTACACGATTTAAATTTGTTATTGTTAATACATTTATAATTTAATATAACATATATACATGATTATATACATAAAATCGAAGTATTTACTAACTTTTTTGCACTGAATGTCTGTCCCTGAGCTATAGCGTTATCGAGATGCTTCCCATTTCTTAAAAAATAAAAGATAAGACAGGACTGACGCTTATCTACTTCTACAGAAATCCAATTTGAAGTTTTTAATTATGGTTCGGTAAAAGACGATTTTAAAATCATTTAAAATTATAAATAGTCCAGATATGAATGAAGCCTTAAATTGAATTTATATGCATCTCATTTTTTAATTGACACTTGACCTAAGTGCTCAATTTCTTAACAGTTTACCTCATTCCAATATTTATATTAATGATATATATTTTAAAAAAAATTATATATTTTTTTATTTGTCTTTGGAGCATGAGATTTATTGGCATCTGTTCTTGTTATTATAAATTCGCATAGTATCATTTCAAATTTAAATAAAAAAATATTTTTCTTGTACAATTTATTCGGTTCAATATCCACCATAAACTCAATTTTAAAAATCATTCTTTGTTCTGTATTCTCCTCTAATGGTCCTTGAATAAATCCTTCCAGGGGAAGTGGGGGAGGGGGGAAGCTAATGTTTTAAACATTGAGTCTCTCAAATTTTGCTTTAAAAAGGCCAAATCATTTGAGCACATCTGAAGTTGATTTTAATAATTTACGTGTATAGTTAACGGGACAAGATTTATTGGAAAGTGACATTAATGGGTTAAATCTGTTGACTAAACTTTAAACCGGGAGGCCATTTTCTAACATAACATGTAATCTTCGGGAAAAAATCATGATGTCCTCTCTTACTTACTTGGACATTCCATAAATTTCTTTTGTTTTAAAAAAATTTGGAAAAAAAGTTTTACAGATATCAATTTATTTTAAAAAGGATGAGGAAGACATTTCTGATACTAAAAACTTAAAGCTATTTCATCAGTGAAAAGGAGACGATTGACAATATTAATTATATTATAATTTTCTTCTTTTTTTTCAATCTGAGAAAATCTATCCAGGCAACTTTTGTCGGGGATTTATGTTTATGAATTCTACTCAAGATATTTCTAAAAATAGCTTTCAGTTAGTGAAAGTTAAACCCATTCTTAGCAGAATTATCTGGGTAAGATCTGCTAATATTAATATAGCGCTCTATAATTAATTTAAAATTTCGAATTGGGCATAATATTTGATGTAAAAGTCATACATTCTAAAATGTAAGATAATGATTTGTCAATATACTCGAAATTTGTTTCAAAAAATTGATTAAAATTTTATTAATAAGAAATTATATTAAAAGTGCAATATTTAAAAAATTATTCATTCGTAAAGGTTAGACCAACTCCAATCAACTGCTTATTCTCTCACGAATACCGCTTACCTTAACCCCCCCCCCCCCCATCCTCAAATCTATATTAAAAAGATTATTACATATTTTCATTTATAAGTAACTTATTCACTACGAATAATCGAATAGTGATACGGGTTGTCGGTTTGCATCAATTTGTTTATCGGACACCGAGTCGGATATCGACGTCAAAAAGGAGGATATCGGTTTAACTCTTACCTATAAGTAATTTGCTTCTTATAAGAAAAATCATTTTTCAATTTTTACTCAAAATTGAGATTTTTTTAAAATAAAATATAATCGTATCGAATTGGAACATATCAAATCAATATTTACCTAAGTAATTAAAAAGATGTTATACAAGTAAAAATATATTTAAAGAAAAATCATAAAAAAAAAATTAATGTGAAAAAAGGGGGAAGCCATCTGTTGAATTTGAATTCATTTATTAAATTTAATATTATTTTTTTTTTCATCTTTCATACCTTTATTTTTATTTTGATAAAATGGCCATTAAAATTTTTGAAAATTAAAGAAAACTAATAATAAAAATAATAAAATGAATATATACTATTATATTGATTATATTAAAAAAAATCCCTTTATTTCTTTAAATTGTCCCTTAATTTGGTTATGTAGATAAATGATTTATAATTTTATATTAGAGTGTAATCTTGATAATCCAAGCACCCCCTGATAAGCGTGACTAAAATTTGAAGAACAAAGTGCTCTCGTTTTTGATATATAGAACTAGTTATAATGAGATGATAGACGTGTCAAACAACCAATTAAGTGATTATATAAATCCTGGGATAATAATATGGTAGTAAATTGCTAAACAGCGAATTTTTATCAAAACGCAATACATACCCCACTAAAAAAAAACTGTCTCACGTGGATTGGAATCCAGGTTGAGGCGCACTGCGATTTCTTAATCAACGTCTGAAGAAAATATTCTAAGATGAAATGTCTTTAGTAAAATGCGGCCCGAAAATGCTGAACAAACTTAGTAAAAATTTAATAGGCTTTTTTAAAAAATAATCAAGTGGGGTAAGATCCTTACCATTTAACAAATATATAATTCTTTTTAGAGTAGATCTTAAAGCGAATTATATGCGAAAATATTGGATAGGAATGTAAAAATGCAAAATTATTCGACGAATAGAGGAGACAGGGGTTAGGTAAACCCCGGGGCTTGGCAAACCACTTAATCTCATTTTCAAATTAAATACACCAAAAGGTTAAAATTTTATCTTAATATAGTTTTTAATAGTTTACATCTATAGACAAAAATCTTTTGAAATAATTAATTATTAAAAAATTTATTTAAGAAATAAAATTTTGATGAAATTTTCAAAAGATTTTTACATGACAGAATTTTAATTTTTATTAAAATATACAATCATTTATATGTAAATTAAATTTTATAGCAAAGTTTATCTTCCATAATTTGGGAAAATTTTATGAGTATTTATTATGTTTAGATATTATTTCATTCTTGAATTGTCAATTTAGAGCTAGGGGCTTGCTAAACC